CGTTGTCAGCACCAGTTGGCGTAGGCCTTTGGAGAACTTGGTTGGTGTCCGATAGACAACCTGAAAGGCTTCACTAGTATCGACTCGGTAATTCGTATCGACAAGGTGTGCGAGAGTAGAAATTGAGAGCGATATAGTTTCACCTTTACTTAACCAGGCCGGTAGATGTTCATGTACTCTCTTTTCCGCTGTTCGGCCAATTTATCCATGTGACGATAGCATATCGTCCCCAGCCACAAGTGGCAGTTGTTCACTCAACACACCGACCACTTGAGCAGACTGACAATTTCCGCAGTGGCCAATAGGCGCCCACCTAGGACAACTATTGATTTTTGAACACGTTCAAATGCTCATTGTTTTGCAAAGTTAAGGGCCTGACGAAGAATTGCCGAAAAACACGTTTTGCTTAATAAACTGGCTTTTCAAGTTAACCATGGGAATATTTACCGAAATTACGTCTAAATCATTTTTTTGCTTAAGAAAATGTTACCTTTCATCAAAAATATTTATATTCAAGACCATGAACCGTTCATTTACACAACATCATAATTTGTCGTTTGTTAAGGTTGAATATTTTGCCTACCAGATAGACCATACCAGTTGAAAAATATATGAGTCCCAAAGGAGGTTTCCGTAATAAGTTACAGAAATATGTGATTTTAAACAGTCCTGTTCAGTAACCGAACGATTCCGATTATTAATCTTCAAACGTGTAAAGGAATATGTCTGAAGTTAGAGTAGCAAAGTTTTAGGCAGCCAGTGAACAGTAGGGATGAGGGGGAGGGTTGATGTCTCACAGATGTCACAATGGTTACAGTCTAGTTCTATCCAGTGCTTGAGGAACGAAAGATGTCTGATGACGAGCTCTGTCTTCGGCTTGCAGCTGAAGCTTCACGTGGCGGCAGGCCGTAACGAATAATCTGGGTCCATCTTGGCCAGGGAGCTTAACGGTCTATCGGAAAAGTTTATGCGGATAAAAGTGTGGGCTGGCTAGACGTATGACCAATGTTTCTGCCGTCGAAGTACCCATAGACGCAGGAACGTAGAATAAATCGCAGAAAATTTATAGATTGCTTGGAGTGCTTGTTTGACGTCTACCCGGTGGCCATTGTCAACCAAGTGAGCCATAATTGCGCTGGAGGTGGGCTTTTCCAGACCCTAATTTGGTCAGTCGGGATGATGCTCTTGTCTCCGCTCGGATAGGCGCTTAGCCGTTCGACCGCTATAAACGGTCCCGTCGGAACGAGTGAGGGCGTAGATGCACATTGTAGACGTCTGAAAAGGCAAGGCGAAAAAGTGAAATCCTTGAGAAAATTAGTCTTATTTTTCGGGTGAACATGCGCGCGATAGCAGACGATGTAGAAATTAACTCGTCGGATCCCCTTCAAATAACAGTGTGAGAATTAATTCCTTCCTCTCGGCCGTCGGTACGTCCAATTTTGGGTAATTTTTCTGCCAATATTTTGTGAAGAACACTTAAAAAAATACATTTTCTCATTAATCGTCTTGTATAAAAGTGAGTCCTCTCTTGAGCGTACCTGGAATGTACATTTTCCTAAATCCGTTAGTTAGGCAGCGGACTAAGCTTTCTGTCTGACTTAGCGAACCAAAAACTCTAACACTCGGTGTAGTTCCTTGTCCGTGTTTTCGTATGAAATAAACTGCTAAGAATAGTTCAAACAGACGTTTTACGAAGTAGGTCGTACTTAAAGGTGACGCGCTGTCCTTTATCTTCCTTGAAAATGGAGACTCGTTCAGCGTGAACCTGATTCTTTTATCCATACGAGTGTCAAAATAAAGCTTCTTCTTTTCTATCGTAAGCAGGTCATCGAGAGAGTGGGCATATGCCTAAAGATCTTTTATAACTGGACAGAGGTCTTTTTTCTCAGATTTTCCCATGGAGACTTCAGCTGGCGACTTTATCACCAAGCCGTCGATATAGTTGTAAACTTGTCCATTGGATCTAAATTTAGCATTTAACCTTCAGCAAAAGAGCAATTTCTTGGTGTTTATGACCAGAATATCAATCGGAATATCCACACATCATAATTCTATCATTTCCACGTGGGTGCTAATACCTAACGAATACGCGACCTCTAGAGCAAAATTATGTTCCCATTTGGATTCGTATTTCTTACAAACTTAGTGAATTAAACTGTGTTCCATGGGCTGAATGCCATTGTTTTTAGAATGAGGTTAAGCATGGCAATCAAGTGTTAGAGGCTAATCTAAGTGCACCGTTCTAACCGAAACAAACTTTCAGAATTTTGGTGAGCATTTCGTAAACTACTCCGCTTGCTGTAGTTTCCTAACTTATGAGCACAGAGGGAGATTTATTATATTTTTTAAGTAGCCTGGGCAAATTATTTACATATGCTGAAATTAATAAAAAAATATGCATTACAAAAACGGTGATTGTCGCGTGAGCGCAAACGTCAGATAGTATTGAATTGATGCCCTGACCTATTCACTCATGCTACTGTTTTCGGATGAGGAGATGTTGCCTGATAATCGGTTTTTTAGCCCCCGGAGCTGTCCTTTTTACCAGCGCGCGCTACAAACGTTTTGTTGCAGTGTGCGTGGCACACTTCCATTGCTGGTTGTAGAAAAAGCTGAAACAGGCACTATGACAGCTGCGCACAAATCAAACCAACAGAAATCAGAAGGGCTCACTGATACTTACCTGCGCTTTAAAAAATATCGTATCCCTAAAATGCATGTGAATTTCCCTAATTGACGGCCGGGCAACTTCAGAGGAATCTGCCTACGTCCTTCGCGTGAGGTCCCAAAAGTAGAAATTCCTTGCGGAAGAAGTATGCAACTTCTGTCGAATTCGTGTGATTAGAGAGTGTGTGTGCTTGCATAGGAGAAGTAAGCGAAAGCACACTAAGTCGTCATCCACAGTCACCTCGTAAGGTTTCGGTAGAGCGAAATTTTAAGAAATATTTGAACAAATGTACTAGAAGACATTTTCAAAGGTCCGAATAACGTTTCAGGCGGAAAAATGTATAAATTGCTCCAACATCCGTTTTTAAGTTACCGGCGTCCTGAGTGACACCAAGACATTTTCTTCAGTTGGATTCTTCGTGAAAGAAGCATAAATGTGAACCATGATTTATATTTCATCGGTTTTCTTGTACTCAACTGAGCATTTTGCTTCTATTTATCAGCCATACACCTGGTATATATCATATTTCATGACTGCAAGTTGAACACAGAAACCAATATACTTTGTGAGGGTCTTGGAGAGGCCAGAGACAGGCCTAAACAATAAGCCATGGGAACCGCAGATGTGTCAATAGGATCTCCACTCATACATTTAACAGTTTGTTTGCTTCATATAGGATAAAGCACAAAAGACAGCGCATTTAATGGTACCCCACCACGGTAGATTGAGCTCTAGAGGCCGAAACAACGGTCGGCGAATTTTTAGAACCATTGAAAACCTCCCGCAATGGCCGCTTTGAAGGTGGACAACGATTTTTATTACTTGTAGACCTCAAGGACAAATTTAAAACTAGGCACTAAGCAGCGTCTCCGTAAGAACATCATTATCCGAATACCGCACGAGAATTTAGTAACATAATAAAAACAGTGAAATCCATGACATGTCTGCACCTCATATACTCAGCTTTCTAAGGAGGACCTGGCTATCGATGCAAGCAAATCATGTCCATATAAGAATAAGGTTATGAACTACTGGTAGGTTGAGGGGCAACCTCGCCATATTCGTCATTTTGTGAGCTGCTAGTAGTCTTGTCTTCTGTATTTTGCTGCCCCAAGTAACCAACCGAAAAAAGGACCACATCATAGTGGAACATCATAATCCTGACAAATGTTCCCTCCAGTGGATAGAAGAGGATGCTGGAGTAAGCACCTTCATGGGCATATTATGGTAACCTAGTCTGCGTCGCAACAATAAGCGTGAAAGGGTGCAATTATTTTTGCTTTGATAGTCAACGTGTTTTCTAATCTGATAGTTCTTTGATTTACATTAAGGTCAATCAACATGGTACCACGGGGAATCGTGGCAAAGAAGTAAATTTTAAGAGACCAACTGCTGATTTGAAGTTGTTTGTGTTGTTATGCAATCAAGTGTCCCGAAAGGTGCAAGATATCTACCAGAACTCCAAGTAATTAAAATTTCATAGACTGCTACATTTCACACCTGAGTACTAATAAAAAGGGAAAGATTTGTGATAAACTGCAAATTTACCAAAAAATTCTGAATTTACTTTTCACTGAAATGGAGGACTTTTCGTGAGGATTCTTATACGACAAAAGGTGCGTGACTACAGGCCACCTGGGTGGAGTGACAGGAAAAGGTTTAACCGTTTCGTGGGTTTCATATTTTTCCATAGCAGCCCCAGTGATTTTTTTAAACAGGTTCTTTGTGAAATATATAGGTGCAGCTGGGGGTTAAACAAATTATATATAAAATGGTGTTTATATATATTCTTTCGTAAAAAATAATAGGAAAGACGAATTATTAAAAAAATCATAGATTTATCAGATTTTTCAGAAAATGGCTTTATAGCTAATAAAGAAGCGGCAGATATAATAAAAAATAACATATTATTAAAAATTAAAACACAGGCGAAACTCTTATTTTATTGAAAAGAAGATTTTCTGAATGGAATATTAACTTGTTTCTTACTGCTGAAAGAGCACTAATACCACAGTCAGAACGCATTAGGTAGCCATCAGACCTTTGTAAAACATTGAGTATGTAAGGGCATCAGGTATAAGATAAAAACATGGTACCAAACTTTTCTGATTCGCCAAAATGTTTTGGGATCTTAGTCAACATTTCACGAATTCCCTCTTATAGTGTGAAAATAAAAGTTACCACGTCCCGAAAGAGTGTATGACGATGAGGGTGTTCATATCACAATTGCGTAAATTAAGTTTATTTAAATCCTTAGAAAACACATTTTTGACCCTCTGAAATTTTAAGGTCGCAAAAATTCCCATCACAGAAGTCCGAAGAGGAATTGGCAAGCATACGTATACTTTCAATAAATTCTCATCAGGCCATTTCATTTATGTAAATGTAATGGCCTGATGGCCTAATGGCCTGATGAGAATTTATTGAAAGTATATGTATGCTTGCCAATTCCTCTTCGGACCTCTGAAATTTCTGTTTACATTAAGAACATCAGCAGGCTGTCGTTTTGTTTGTAGACAAAGCTTTAGGGTCCACAAGTAATTATTTACCATGATTTCAGGAACATTTTCAGTCTAGCTTCCTTCGTAAATACCTTATTTATTATACTATCCGAGTTAAAACTAGGTGTCCATAAAACAATTGATTTTAAGTTCACCCTAAGATGCAAGTTAGCTGTCCTGCGGCCAATGGTCGCTAATGCCACTCCTTGCTACAGAATTTGTATCTGGACAGATATGCTTAACTTCGTTTGAGTCAGACTTAAAAATGTCCTGGCACCTTGCCTAGCGGCAGGTTAAAAATCACATCGGTTTCTGAAACTGAATTACGCGTTTACGCCAGACCTGCTGGGAGCGATAAGTCCGTTGCAGCAATTATCTGTCCTCCATCGGTTTATTTTTGCTGTGTAACTACCATTACAGAATAGGCAGTGCTGAAATATCTTTTTAACCACTGGGCAAGGTATCAACTCCAGTCTGCATGCTTCTCAGTCATGCGACAGTTCAAACATGCAAATGGAAACGAAGCGATTGGTCTACAATGACATCTACTTTTTTAATGTGACCTTTGCGCCAGCGTCTGGCTTCATGGGATCTGTGCTTGGTGGAGGGATAAGCATGCGCATAGAACACACACTTCCGTTTTCAGCTAACTCAGCTAGCATGCGCGCACCCGCTTTTTGTTTTTTTGGAACATACTGATTGTGGCTAGCGTGTGCGATATATGCCGAACTAGCCTTCCACAC